AGGTCACAAAATGGCACTGATTGAAAATACAGCGGGAGTAAAGTCCAACATCCAAAGCATTGTTCTGTTGGACTCACTCCTTATTTATTTATTCATGATTATTATTATTATTTTTTTTTACCACTAGGGACAAACAAATGTAAGCTTAATGCCCACACATGGCAGGTTTTTGAACAGCATGAGGGGGGATTTCCTCCAAGGTGCAGCAAACTAGTAAAACATTAATAAATAAATACAAATATATTCACAAAGTGCTTTTACAACACACAGAGACGAGGTAAACAACAGGTATAGAAAGTGCAGGCAAACACTCAGAAAGTAAAAATACACACAATGAAAGTGGAAAAGAACAAACTGGGTCACTACTGAAGGTGTGTTTTAATAAAACTGGTTAAAAAGACGACATCACAGAGGAGGATGAAGATAAAAGATGAAGATAAAAGTAGATTAAGAAAGAGAAAAGACAGAAGGAGAGCAGGTAGTATCGATATAAAAAGGGAAAAGAAACGGGCCAAAATCTAAAAGAGAAATAAAAGAGAGCATCACTCAAAAGCGAGTCTGTAAAAGTGGCTTTTAAGAAGTGATTTAAAAGAAGATATTGAACCTGCGAGCCTTATTTCCTCAGGTAGGTCGTTCCAAAAGGCCCGGTCGCCTTTGGATTTGAGCCTCTTAAAGCCTCTTTCACAAAACGTCACATTTTCAGAAAACCTAAACCAGTTAAACCCTTCTATGATGGATGTAACGAGCTTAAACAAACACAAAACAACGGATAAATCTTGAGTTTAAACCTTGAATCTGGGCTCAATATAACCAGAACTTTAGGGTTATATTCAGCTCTCACCAGTCTGTCGTTTAGTTATTTAAAATGATTTATAGATCTGTAATAAATTCAGTATTTTCCAGGTTGTATTTCGTTTTTTTAAATGATGGATCAAACTTGTTACTTAAATTTAGTTCCCATTCATTAAAGTTATTCTCGTCAACAGGCGAGCAGCTCAAACTGCCAGTGGGAAACTTCCTAATTACACATCCTGTTTTTCACTCTTATCAGTTGACAGGCAGCCTGTAGTTCTGCTCCATAAAGAGATCAAATGAGAAGCACACACACACCAACATCTGTCAGCTCGTACAGCGCAATAAAATCCAGGTGGAGGGAAGCGGGTGAGGGCTGGAGAATCGCCTCTGCGGGATTTGAATCGGACGTCTGTGAACTTTGAATGTTGCAAAGCAGCTTCGGGACAGAACAGACGTTAGGACGGGCCTCGGACCGAGCCAGACAGACAGTCAGGATACACCCTGGTGTGAGCCTGCAGGCCCGGAGGTCAGAGAGAAGTGACGATTCAGGGCAGAAGGAGAACAGGAAGAAGAGGCTGCAGCGAGCAGCACAGACGGTTGTGGTTGTGGGTGGATGTTTGTACAGCAGTTAGTATGTTATGGTAGAGAACAGGTGAAGACAAAGTCCAGCCTGTTGTCTGGGGGGAGAGGAGGGATGGAGGGTCTAAATGGTGCTGTGGAAATTTCCATAATAAAGTGAATTTACACAGAGGTTTTTCCATCAAGTCATCAGCGGCCTTCTGCTCGACCATCTCTGATGAGCTTGAAACCTTTTTTTTAAAAAATCTGAAATATTTAATGTAATATCTGTGAATGTTTAGATTAACATATGAACCTCTTAAAACCCAAGCTCTTGTTTGATATGCTTTTAAAAAAAATTCTCTTTGCTATTTGATCAGAGCAAATAAAGAATATCCATCCATTATCTACATTATTACACCTTAATCCTCACTATGGGGGGCTGGAGTCTATCCCAGCTGACTCAGGGTGAAGGCAGGTTCACCTGGACAGGTAACCAGTCTATCACAGGGCTACACTTAGAGACAGACAACCAAGCACACTCACATTCACACCTACGGACAATTTAGAATCACCAATTAACCTCAACATGTTTCTGGACCTTGTGGGAGGAAGCTGGAGAACCTGGAGAGAACCCACGCTGCACGGGGAGAACATGGAGACTCCATGCAGAAAGATCCCGGGTGTCCTCACCGGGACGTGAATGTTGCTGTGAGGCAACGATGCTAACAACTGCGCCACCTTGCAGCCCTATAAATAAAATAAAATAAAAATGTAAATTAAAAAATATATTTAAAAGATATATAAAAATGAAAAAATAGCAAAATATCAATAATAAAATAATAAAATTTTAAAAAAACAATTTCTGTGGTAATATAACCCAAAATTTGATGTCCAAGCAGGTCTTAAGAAGTTAAATACTTTCTGAGATTTGATATAATTTCTTTTTTAATTGCTTGTTGACCCGGCTTTAGCACATTTCTTTTGCAAACTGAGGCCATGAGTGAACAACAGTATCTCAGGAACTATTAAAGACAAAAGCCTGATGTTGTTGCTGTTATTTCTCATCATCTCATTGATTCAGAATCTGCAGTATTGTGCTGATGTGCGCTCCAAGAGGCCAACTAGTGATCTTTTCTGAACTACATGTAGCTGCATGCCACAATAAGACAAAACAAAACTTTTATAATCATTTTTAAGCTGAAATCCTCTCTCCAGTATCAAGTGTGTACCGTGTGATTGGTGAGTGCTGAGGATGTGGTTATAGGTAGGAAGAGCAGAGAACACTGACTGGGTTGGAGCTCGTCACCCTCACAGCCTACTTTCTTGGGGTTTGTGTTTTTATTCTTGACAACACTTAATAATCTTCTGGGTGGTTTTCACTCCGTTGTTGCTCAACGTTTCCTCGATCAAGAGGTTCACATTGACGGGATAAGATTCTGTCGAGGGATTAAATTCCTGCTGGGGCTAAATTAGAGGCCTGATACCTTTATTGATGGAGGGTTTCATTTGTTAGATATTAAAATGATTAAGTTAGTTATTATATTTAACACGTGTGAGACTTTGCTCTGTGATGTGTCGTTTTATTACAGTGAAACCTCGTGTAATGACTGGTTTTAATTCAGTTTTATTGACACTGCTGATTTCAATAACTGCCTTTTAGTGTTCTATAACAATGACAATATAGATCTGTTCTGTCTATACATGCAAACTTAATTACATGTTCACAGAATTGAACATTAGCCCTAAATATGCTTTAGCGTTAGCATGACACCACTCTACTGTTTGACGACAATATTTCTCCTAAACTTCAACATGTCAGCATGAAATGTGTCTTTAAAAGGCCGACTGATATTAGAAATCTACTAAACAAAACAGTTTGCATGATAATAAAATCCCTGCACCGGCTCTTCAGCGTCCAGCATCCACTGATGCAAATATGTTGTGTCTGTAGATTTACACTGTGTGGCATCGCTGTGTCCATTAGAGGAGAGAAACCTGTGTTAGTGTTATATGAAGGAGGGGAAAAGAATCATAAATAATGCAACAACCTGGATTTCTGTACCACAGTTTATGCACAAAAAGCTCCACAAAATACCTTTAATACGACGGAATTAATGAAACTTACAGGATTAAAAAAGCTCAGTTTAATTCATGAGACCACATAAAGCAAGTGGACTGAAATCACCTGAACAGAAAGTATCAGCGGTGCAGGTATTCAGAAATAGAAAGTAGCTCCAATGACGTGAACATGTAGACTCTCCACCCTGGAAGTGTCCAACATGCACAAGGTAAAGGTTAAAGGTTGCCACAGGGTGAGTTTTAACCCTTTTCCAAATGGTTTTGGCACCTAAACTTAACCAACTGGAAATGAAAGTAAACACCAAGAGAAAAGGAATCAGCAAGTGAAAGCAAAAGTCTAAAGAAGACTGAGGAGAAAAAAATAAAAATCTAGTTTCGATCTAACGGGAGTCGACCTCGAGTGTCCTGAGTAGGTGCAAAACTACAGTTCAGTGAAACAGGGTGATAATGTACCTCCTGAGCTAAGTAGAGAGTGGTAGAGGTCTCTCCAGGCTCATCCATCCATCCTCTATCCTTCGCTTAATCCTCACTTGGGTCATGGGGGGCTGGAGTCTATCCCAGCTGACTTAGGGTGAAGGCAGGTTCACCTGGACAGGTAACCAGTCTATCACAGGGCTACACTTAGAGACAGACAACCAAGCACACTCACATTCACACCTACGGACAATTTACAATCACCAATTAACCTCAACATGTTTTGTGGGAGGAAGCCGGAGAACCCAGAGAGAACCCACGCCTCACGGGGGGAACATGGAGACTCCACGCAGGAAGATCCCGGGTGTCCTCACCGGGATGCGAACCCACGACCCTCTTGCTGCAACAGTGCTGACCAACTGTGCCACCTTGCAGCCCCATATTTAAAACAAAAATAATAACAATAATAATAATTTTAAAAAAAACAACAAGCAAACCAGCATGATGGGACTCATACACTAATATTAATTTGAACAACCCTTTGAGCCAATCACTGCCATCATCAGGTGTTTCCTGTAACTCTCAGTCAGACGTCTGCACCTGTTGACAGGTGTTTGGATTTCACTGCTCATCAGCAAAATGCTCTCATTTGTCTGTTTTTGTTTATTTTTTAAAATTATTCTTTTAACCACAATTCAAAAGCAACATCTCATTTCACTCAATTATAATTTACTAAATTTTTATTTATTATTACTTTTTCCAGTTTCTACTTATTTCAGTGATTATTGTGAATTTTGCCTTTTCTTTACTGGACGGGGACGAATAAATTAGAGGACGGCTGCACTTCCCACCATGAACCACTAGATGGCAGCCCGTCCCCTTCGGTCTGACTCCACCAAGTTTTAATTGAATGACTGATGAACATGCCCCACTTCTCTCTCTCTCTCTCCCCCACCTCTCATTTCTACATGCCTCTCTCTCCCACCTCCTCCCCCCTCACCACCACCACCACCTCCCTCTGTCACACAGCCAAAATAATAAAATGCTGACTTCTCAAAGTGCCGTCAGTATGCCTGTCTCAGCACAGCAGCCCTGAAGCCTGACACACAGGACGGAGAGAGAGAGAGAGAGAGAGGAGGGGGGAGAAAGAAAAAAAAAAAAGAAAAGGGAGACAACTTTGTGTAACTGCAGGCTCTGCCTTGCCTCGAGGCTTCAGCACTGCGCTTCTGTGAAGGTAGGTGTGAGGCTGCTGCGTCTCTGTTTTCGGGGGGGGGGTATGTTTAATCATCCTCTCTGCCTGCTTCTGTCCTGTAAATGTAGAGTCTGTTGTGTGGCTGTGGACCTCTGGGGCAAAGTTTCAGGGTGTGACATGGGGGCATTATTGTCCAAAAAAAAACTGTGATGTTTCTGGTCAGAAGTTTGGTGGTTTGATGTTGAACTGTGAGTCCCACGTCGTGTGCGGCTATTTTCTGCAGAGGAATACTAGAATACTGTCACTCACATGAATCTATCAGTGTGGAATGTGGAGGGGATAAGCCACCCGATGGCTGCCCATCGCCGTGTAGTTAATTCGTCATGGAGGGGGGATTTGGAGATCTCAGGGGGGAGGCTGTTCGGTTCGAAGTTTGCCCTCCGCCTGCTCATCACCTCCATTTAAGATCCATTAGTGCCTGACGTTTGCCAATCTATCACCCGATCAGGTTGTCTTTTGGGCTCCGGTGGCCCGATTGTGTCAAAGCACGGCGCTGGTGTTCAACGTGGATGTGACCTTATTGCTGATTGAGTCAGGAGAAGCCGCGCCAACGCTTTCTTTCACGAGAAGAACTTTTAAAACCTCCCCCCTTCTGGTGAACACTAACCTTCCTCGGCCAAGTTGTTCTTGAGGCCTCAAAATGGAGCTCTGACACGGTTTTAAGGAGCAACCCTAGCCGGGGAGGATTCACACGACTGGAAGTAGCTGACTTGTGAAGCTAAAATTAAGCTGAGGGCTGATTTGGAATGTTACACTTGGGCGGTAAGACGTGGAGAAGATGACCCGCGGATGGTGGCAAAATCTTTCTGAGCAGCCGGTGGCAGAACGAGGGCTCTAAAAAGCCTCTTATCGGGCTTCTGTTGCAGCGAGAAAACAAAAAAACAGGGAAACTTAAAGTGTGTTTCTGCCTCAGTGAGCAGCCCGACACAGAAGCAGGGTGTAAATAACTCTGGAGCATTTATGAGTGTATGTTCTTCTAAACCCTTGTGATGGCTTTTTTTTTACTTATAAATCCTTCAGTGGCTTCTCTCTGCTGCTACTTGTTCCTTCTCATTAAGCACAATAAGAACTTGTACCAACTGACATGCAGTGAATCACGGTTTTACCTCCAAATTAAGCGCACTTTTTTGCCTCCAGCTGTCTTTGCCAAAAAAAAAAACCCAAGAAGCAGTGTGTTCTTCAGATGACTCCATGAGCCTTTACTGAATCAGACTGAAATCTCCCAATACTTGAGCTGCTGTGACTGAAGCTGCTGGTAGGATTTCAGCAGATGGTCAGAGATGGAAGGATGGTAACGGGTGAAATCGTCGGGGCGGATGGAGACGCCGCTTTAGATTCCTGTGATGTTAGTTGAAGTGTTTGATAATGGAGCCCAGCTACACCTCACGCAGGGCGTCCACGGAGAATGAATGAGGCCACCGTCACGTCGTAATGTGAGATCCTTTACAGTCCTTCCCTGCTGTTACACCTGTGTTGTCAGTTTTCCTGACTGATTGGACTTTACTGAGGGGGAGCGGATCTGTGTGGGGAACTACTTAATATCACCAAATTGGCCTCAATTCAGAAGTTAAGCTGTAAATTTGGTTTATGTTCTCGTTAGCGTTGGATCAAAAGTTGGTCAAATATGGACCTTTGCGAAGCTTAAAGTTGGTGTAAGATTTTTATCTAATCTGGTAGAAAGCCAACACTTAAAATGAAGTTATGTATCAGACAGTTTCATCCATACATTATCTATACTCCACTTAATCCTCACTAGGGTCATGGGGGGCTGGAGTCTATCCCAGCTGACTCAGGGTGAAGGCAGGTTCACCTGGACAGGTAACCAGTCTATCACAGGGCTGCACTTAGAGACAGACAACCAAGCACACTCACATTCACACCTACGGACAATTTAGAATCACCAATTAACCTCAACATGTTTCTGGACCTTGTGGGAGGAAGCTGGAGAACCTGGAGAGAACCGCAGAAAGATCCCGGGTGTCCTCACCGGGACACCAACCGGCGACCTTTTTGCAACGGTGCTAACAACCGATCCACCTATCAGACAGTTGCTGAAGGTTAAAGCTATAGATATAGTTCAGTGAGGGCACGGATTAATAATTCCTAATTGATATAAAGCTATCGTACCTCGTCTATATCAGGGGTGTCCAATCCTGGTCAGCTCATCATCAAGCTCTGCAGAAGCCTGATAACGACCCTGATCGTTTGAATCAGAGGGAAACATCTAAAACATGCAGGACTGTGGCCCTCGAGGACCAGGACTGGACACTCCTGGCCTATATGATTAAGCTAAAGTAAATTAGTGTCAAAGATTAAGGTAATCTTATAATAATCTTATGTCATTTTTGCCGAACAGCACTTCTGAAGGTTAAATCTACACTAATGGGATCCTGTTCACGCTCATATCTGACCATTTATTTATTAATTTATTTATTGTATTCTGTGTCATTATCCTCACATGAACCCAGTCATGCCAACAAGACGCACGTTTCATCGTACGCCGTAACGTATGAATGATGAGCCAATAGGCTTTGCTTCAATGGAGGATTCCCATTAGATTAATTAACTAATTAGGCTGGCTGTGTGGTCTCATTGTGCTGCATGGCAGTAATGATGTCATTTATCACAGCAGATTGCTAAAATATTCACCTCCTGGTAAGAGAATGATGAGAAATAGCTCCGTGAGATGGTAGAATTCTGCTCCTATCATAAGTCATGGCAGGAAAAACGTAAACGCAGGCTCATGTTTTGGTGTTTTAGAGGAACAGACAAGCAGAAAGGAACCATTCAAACATGCTTATTGCACTCTAAATTAACGATAGGAAGCAAATGAGTGTGATCAAAGTTATTCATCCACTTCTTTAACCTCTTTGCCACCTTCAGACCAAGTTGCCCGTCTCTTATAGCCTCTGTAACACAGCTGGTTAAATGTAGCTCTGATAGAGAACAGCCTGACGTATTTTAATGTATTTTCAACATTTAAAGACAACATTTATATATCATTGATCAAACCCCAACAAAACACAGACATTTATAGCCGGGCTCAGCTGAGGTCAAAGCTCCCATTAAAGACAGCAGCTGCAGGTGCAGGAGATGGTTGAGATTTTAACTGGAAAAAGAAGTCCGTCCGGAGCCAGCTGGCAGTGGCAGGTGACAGCCTCCGCTCTGCTCCACTCCCGGCTCGTCTTGTTTCAGATAGAAACCCTGCTGGGACTGCTGGGGGGGCAGATAAACATTCACAGTTTGTTTCCACTCCGGTCTGACTGTCAGTGCCAGTTTCTGTTATGCTGCAAATCATCCAGCTGACAGGAAACGAAAAAAAGAAGAAGTATTGATCTGCATGTGTCGGTCTCTGTGGGAAATATACTGTCACACCATTCGCCAATTAAGTTAAACTATATAAAGTAATGTGTTCTTTAACCGGTCGGCTGCTGGCATGCAGTCGTCTGAGCCCTCACTCTTAGCTCAAGTGTCAGAAAACAGCCGTGCATTTAGCTCAACAATAAGCGAGGCTCAAAGGCTTGACTGCAGGCAAATCGCATGAGCCTCGTTTGGACGGAGCCCCGCGTCACGTCCACTCCTTGAGACTGCTCGCCTCGTTAAACACAGCAGAAAACGAGCAGTCGAGCTGGTATTTTTAACATCACCAGCGCTGCAATGTGTTGGATTTGTGCTGACTTAAAGTAAAGATGCATATAAAGTGCATGGATGAGAATGAACACACTCAAATGTGCAAAAGATGATCAGATTGACCAGGTTGTGTTTCTTTTTATTTGCTTTTGATTACAGAGAAACCTCCATTATCAGAATGTTTGACATCCTAATATTTGATTTTCTAGATAATCAAACTGATATATGACTTCTTTTTAGCCCTCTATGGCTGAATAAGAGGACAAAATATTTAAATTTCGCAAAATATTTCATCATTTTTTTATATGATGCTTTTCTGTGATGACCTTTAATGACCTCAGAATAAAATTGAACCTACAAAAGCAGCAAAATCAATAAATTCTCTCACACTTAAGCAGTAAAGACCCTTTAAAACCACTTTTAAACCAGAAACCTTTGGTTAAGTGTTGAACTCCCAAGTAAAACCAACATGATTTAGATAGAAAGGCTGTTTTTTTTCCGGCTTTAGGGCCGTAAAACCTTTTATACGCGATAAAAAGCCAGTCAAGGTAGCTTTATCCTCCACCTGGTCCTCTGAGCTGCAGCCTCCTTCCCCCTCATCCCTTAAATCTCCTCCATCTTCCTCGATACTCAGCTGCGTGATCCGCTGTTTGTGTCTTTGGCTTTACGCATTAGAGCCACACAGCAGCCTCCATGAGAAGCTGCCAGAGCGGCGCAGGCACACGGGAACAGGTTTAAACAGGTGGTTTTGTACAGTTTGAGTTGTCTGAAGAAGAGCTTTGCAGAGCTTTTTTCTGCATGTCTGACAAGATTTGCATCCATGTAAGTTTTCAACCAATGCATATAACGTCGTTTACACAATGCTGTGTCTTCTGTCCATGTTGTAATCTCCATTTAATGGCCTAAATATGATAAATAAACAGTTTTATCCCAATGAAGCAGTAAAAATACCAAGAACATGCTTCAGATTTGTGCAGAAAGTCATCCTCACGTCTCTAAATTTCCGGCTCAGAGAAAAACTCCACACCTCAGAAACATTAACACTTATCTATGCACACATGTAGTTCTTGTTCACGGATTCGTGGCAGATATTGTTTCAGTTTTATGTGTATTCAGGTACAAATACTCACAAGAAGTGTGTGTTCTCCATCTGTGTGTGTGTAGCCTGTGACGCTGTGTTGACTTCACAAAAAAGGTGAGACTTGGTCTGAGGTTAAATTAGGTCTTCAGAAAAAATGTAGGCAGGTCCTTGTTACGTCCTCTGAAGTGATGGTTTGTGTGTGTGTGTGTGTGTGTGTGTGTGTGTGTGTGTGTGTGTGTGTGTGTCCTTTCCAATAAAGACACCAGAACAAGATCACTTCAAGAACAAGGTTTTTTTTTAATGCTATAAATAGGACAGAACAGAACAGAATGGACCGCCCCCCTTAATTGTCATTTACAAGTCCTGGAATAAACAGGAACAGAACGGTTCGCTTCCACGTCCGTTTCCATGGTAACCAAGCTTCTGGACTGGCTGTCAAGGAAACCCGATCGTTTGGCTGCAGTTTGTCAGGACTTGATGCTCAACTCGAAAAGTCCTCGGCGTTGTGCGGGAAACTTAATGACAACGCAAAGACACGCAACTTCACAAACAAACAACGATTTGTGGCCTTTCAGATCTTTCTGGTTTACTTTCAGCTCAGCATTAGAAAAGTATTTTCATTCATTTGTCCATAGGTGAAATTGAGCTTGAATATTTCTGCCTTTTTTCCCCCCAACATGTTCAAAAAGTTTACACCTTTGGAAAATCGACTCCAAAACAGATTGGAGTTAAAATATAGCAGCTCTGTGTCACACACTGGTAATTTTTGAAGCCTTACATTCAAATAATTCAATTTAAATGTAAAACATGGGGGGAAAAAACCCGAGACATGGCCGGTTACTAATACAACATCACTGGATCATCCTGGGTGATAAGCTCATATCATTTATTAATTCAAGTTGTGATGCTCTGATTGCTTTACAGTTCTATTTACATTCATGATAACCAGGAGAGCACAGTGTCAACTCTGCTGCAGTAAACATTTAATTAAAGTTCCAACAGAATTTACAATTTCACTGCCTCAGAATACTGATCTGATCTGTAAAATTCAAGGTCCTGCATAAACTGTACAATAAAGTAACTGGACATACAGAAGGAGGGGTGGATTTCACTGAGAACCTGACGATGCTAAGCATTTAAAACCTGCTTTACATCCTATTTTACTCTAAATACGACCACAATTTACAAGATAAACACCATGCTGTATTGAAGGACACTTGAAGCTAGCTACTGAGACCATAAACTCATCAGGATGATATTTACTGAGGTAGCAAACCAAGTGAGAAGTAGTGCCATTTTCTCATAGACTTCTATACAATCTCCTTTGTTAGAGGAGTCGCCCCCTGCTGGTTGATGAATGCAGGTTTGAGGCACTTATGTGCGAGGTTGCGTTCATCTTTAGAACCCGCATTAGCTTAACCGCTAACATCTTGTAGGCTTGTTTCGTGTCACACTTGAAGTACTAAACATGTGCGGCTAACATCAGTTTGATAGGTACCACTTCTAATGACTTGAAACGTGCCACTCTCGGGCAGTTTAGTTGCTCGATGTGGTCCTTGTTCTTTAGCACCACTGCTACCAAAACACTGTGTGTCCTTATAGGCTGCTCGGGCAAATGTATTCAGTCTTTGTGTCTTTGCCAGCCAACTGCAACGTCCCATATTATCGCTAAATTTAATTATAAGCTACTGTTATTGAGTTTGTTGGTGAGGTGTTTAGGCTTTAATGGAGTTGCTAAAAGCACATATTCATAACGCTCTATGCTGCTAAATGTGATTATGTACATGAAGTCGGCCTCTTGTTGCCATCACGTGAATCGTTCCTGACTTCACACAAGCAGAGCGGCTGAATGAAACCACATTCTGTGACCTGTTCTCTGATGCTTTTTCTCTTCTTTGTCCAAGTTGGGGAAAAAATTGGCCCAAAAATGAAAACACTGGCCCTCAAACGCGATAGCTGCATTACTCATGCTTTGACCCAGAGGTATACATATGCGATCGCTGTGGTATTTCCTCGTTTTTCCAGCCCTCCTGTGCAAACTCTTTTGTTGTACCACAGTGCGTTTGACTTTTCATCACTGGGTGCAGATATGTTTTTCGGGTGGGTCCGCTGCTGTACGAGCAAGTGTCCGTCAATGATAAATAAGGGAGTGCACTTTCCACTCCTCTCCTCTCTCCGTTCTGCTATTCTTAGTCGCTGTCCGGTGAGCTAAGGGTTTAAAGTTACAAAGACCTCTCGCTCTCTTTCGTTTCCTTCACTGCTCTCGGCCTCTTCGTCTTTCAAAGCGCCGGGGCATCGGAGGGTGGCTGTTCACCTCTCGTGTGTTTCAATGTAGATTACGTAAGAATGTGATCAGGAGGGCCGCCGCCGCAGCGTGTTTATACCGACTCTGTCCTCCTGGGTATTGCGGATTTGTTATTGGAAATGCATCTATTATTACCAGCATCTCATTATTGGACGGCACCCTGGATAGGCAGCTGATAAGCTCAATGAAGCTGTTTGCCAGGACAGTGGTTGACAAAATGTGGGGCGGGGGACCCCCTGTGGACCTTGACATAGCTCCAGGAGGTTCCCAGGTGAAATAAGGGCAGAGTGGTTTATCATTTACTCAAATAGAAAAACTGGGGATTACGAGGTTGACCGTGAGCTGTGGCTGGAGATCTTATCTCACCTCTGTCAGCGAGTTTCACGTCATTTCTTTCCCGTCAGGCATCTAATAAAGGCATGGCCAGAAAAATACATGAAACATGAAAAGGCATTTTTGGGTTATTTATCCGCTGTGTTATCTGTGTTGCAGAAATCTCACATAGGACTGAATCTCACCCATCAGCATTTTTTTGCTCAGTGGTCATCTATTTATAACAACTACAAACATAGTTAATGTACGTGACTAGATCATTCAGTATCTTGCATAGTTTGTCTTTCATCAAAAAGTGTCAAAGGAAAGTTTTTTGCAGACATGTTCTAACACAAGAAGTCCTGGTTTGGAAAGATTGGGGCTAAAAAAAAAAAAAAAACCAACATGGAAAACTTAGAAGCTGCAGTTCCTCGAGTGGCCACTTGAGGCAGGCTCCAAAGCTGAGTCAGTCCCCATAGACGTCCATGTTAAAATGCCCAACTTTACAGCAGAAATAAACATGTTGGCAGCCTTGTATAAAAAATGGTTTTGGCCTCAATAGCTAATGTCACCATTGTTGACAGTCGTATGGGAGATTATTTTTTATTTAACTCACCCGTTTAAATTATATTAAGTCTCAAAGTTCTGTATATTTTAAGACATTGATTGTCCGTGGCCCACAGATATTTGCCTCCCTCCACCTCTTTGCTCATTTTTGGATTAGCTGGAACCCTTTGGTTGATATCACAACAATAAAAACAATCCTGTGAATTAACTGTGATCTCCCTCTTCTCTCTTTGCTTCACTTGCAGTGCCCTCTTGCCCAGGGGTGTGCAGTGGTGTGCATGAGTGAGTGTGTGTGTATGTGAGCCAGAGCCTCAGGAAATCATGTCAGATCCCAGGGACATCGACGAGGATGCCATCCTCAAGGGCCTCAGCGCCGAGGAGCTGGATCAGCTGGAGTATGAGCTGCAGGAGATGGACCCTGAGGTACGGAGGAGAGCTTGATTCGTCTGCCAAGCGGTCATCATTTTGCCACAAAGCCTCGATGGTCAGATGTGAGGTTCAACGGTCCTGCAGGTTTTTTGTTATCAGGCTGACACCAGGTTTAGTTTGTCGACGATTCAAAAACCTGCAGAATTTGTGACATTTAAGACATCCAGGTCCATTTTAGTCCAGCAGACATTACCAACAAGAACAGAATGATTTTGGTTTTCTTACTTCATTCAAACAGTTTTTATTAAAGTGTTTCCAAAATGTTTCCCATCTTTTAGGGAAACAAATTCTCCTCTCACTTGTAGAAGATTATTTGGTGTCACAAACACTTCTTTGACATAACGATGAATCCATTCCCCTGCTCTGTAGTCTTAATGCCACAGCAGCAGCATAACATGTGACCTCCCGTTCTGCCAGAATGCCATGCTGCCAGCTGGTTTCAGGCAGCGAGACCAGACGAAGAAGAGCCCGACGGGGCCTTTTGACCGCGACGCCCTGATGCAGCACCTGGAGAAGGAGGCCCTGGAGTTCCCGGACAGGGAGGACCTGGTGCCCTTCACTGGGGAAAAGAAAGGTGGGAGGAGCAGATGTTCTGTCTGAGGATTCATTTAGGTGCTCTGCTCCACTAAATATGCAACAAGGTCTTTAATTTTGAACACAGTAAATGAAACTAAAATGTCATTAGAAGGAAGGAGGAAGTGAAACCTTGTGAAAGTCAAATCCAGATAAATAAAACGCTCAGACAAAGCTGCACACACTGGCTTTTGTTTTCCTCTTATAGAGATGCAAACACTAAATATAATGCTACTGGTTTTAATGACGTTAACCAACGTACTTGTAGGGAAGTCTTGCCACTTTGGTAACACCCCCGTGCAGTTATTTCAGACTAACATGACCAGAGCCATAACTTATGGGACATAAAAACTGCATTTACAGAAACACCGAACCTAATATGATTTTAAAATAAAAAGTTTTGTGACCAGTTTTGCCCCAGAATAATAAATAAACAGCTTTTCCTCCTGCAGGTTATTTTTCTACTTGCTAAAACTTTCTTGACACTCGTGTCAGTCCAGCATCATGATTGGCTGAATGTTTCCTGGTCGGTACAAAGCAGACAACTGGCTTTTTGGCCTTTTTGTTTTTTGGCATCCTCCCATAGATTTCTTTTTTGGGTTTTTGGGGTTTTTTTTACCGGTTCCGTATGCCATCAGCTGTACCTCTGCTCCCAAATGTTTAAGCCAGAAAATCTAGATGCAGAACCTAGAATGCCATAAAAATTGAATTATCTCGCTGCACACAGTCAAGGTGTGTTTCCATCACACAATCCTCGAACACATTTTCCTTCGTTTTGAGTTCACTTCGTATTTGCATCAGCAGAGGTTTAATAATAACTACAGGATTCCTGTACATGCTGGATGTAATCGTCTCTTCATCCACCGTTCATGCATGTCCTGAACCTCCACGGACTTTGTGTCTCCTGCTCCTTTGGATACATGTAGAGTATTGTGATGCACCACTGCACAGCGGCTCCGGCTCTTAGTTTCAGGTCTGTGTGGGGTTTTTTGCAGCTCACTGACTTTTGGGGCCGTTTCCATTATACTCCCGCAGCCCGACATGTTTAGACCTACGCGGGGAAATGACTTGGCTGAGAATATTCGCACTGTGCTTCCTTCGCAACCAATCCAATAAATGGAAACCAATAACACGACGAGCACATCCGCGCTCTGTCTGTAATTATTTTTCAGATGGGATTTTTTTAACTGAAATCGTGAAGATGAACGATCAAAGCGGAAAGAAAACAAAGAGAAAGCGACGGCTCCGGTGGAAAACCGAGTTTATTAGAGCTGCTCTGTGGATCTGCGATAAGCCCCCGACTTACTCATGTTTTGGGAAACGTGATCCGAACGGAGCTTTTACCGAAACAGAGACAAATTTATAGACGTTCAGACTGCAGAGCCTCATTAAGACCTCATCGGACCTCCTACACACAACCTTCTGCTCATTTGTTCCATCTGTTTATGGCTCGTCTCTTATCTGTCCACGTCTTTACCACGACTTCTTTCTTGCTGCTTTCTTTTCAAAATCTTACTCTGTTTTCGTGCCCGAATCTATCCGTTTCCCCTTTCTGCCCCCCAGGAAAGGCCTTCGTGGCCAAGAAACCTGAAGACCTCCCCGACCATGAGAAGGTGATGCTGGAGCCGGAGCTGGAGGAGGCTCTGAAAAACGCCACCGATGCAGAGATGTGTGATATTGCAGGTCAGACGATCGCTGTTCATCCTACAAGAGCGTGTGTGAACAAGGTGTTTCACTACTGGCTTAATCACACACAAAAAAAACTATATATAGTGTTGGTCCAACACCCCATAATGCATCAGGAAATCAGGCTTCCAAAACCAGAACTGCAACTCTGACCACTAAAATATTGCAAATACAGTTTTTTGTTTGTCATCTCAGAAATGATGTCTTAAGAATGACAATGAACATAGATTCCACTTATTTGTGATGGCATAAATCAGACGACTTAACGCAGTCCAATCTGAAACCGGAAGTCGTAAAGGAAAGTAGGAGAACAAACTGTGACCGGACTGGCGTAACAAACAGTTGTTATTCTTTACTCGTACTATGCTCTGCTCGGTGCCGCCCAGCTCGTAGCGCACAAACAGCCGTCCCTAACAGGAGACACTGTGGCACGGTAGCGGCGGCCAGGCTGGTGAGCTGGCGCCTCTGTGGTGTGGCTGGACTGTGTGGCTGCCCTCCAGCTCTCAGTTCACCACTGCATCAAAGAGGAGAAGCTCATTAGACGATGCTGTGACAATCAGCTCCGGCTCGTACTGTTTCCTGAACCAGTCCGTCCCAGCTCTGCCCCTGCAGGCATGTGAAGCCACACCAGGCTGCCACAAGCACATGTAAACATCAGGTGGTTCCAGTATGATGGAGTGTTAAAAATGAGCTGTTATATGCATGTAGACGTGTACAGATTGCAATGAAAGCTCCGTCCCTTACTCAGTGTTGCCTGATCGTCCTCCCATTAAAATACCAAAACACCCCCAAAAGAACTTTCCTATGAAGTCATCTGTTTGTCTTCATGCAGTTTCCCACCAGCAGGTGCTTATTAACCCATTATGACATAAACAGCACAGTGTGACCTCACTGTTTTCATCACAGCAGCTCTGACCCACATACTTCTATTATACTCTTTAGCTTCATATTGTTTTCCTCAACACAGACACTTTTCACTAGTCCCGAGCTAACCGACATGGCCAGACATGCAACCAGGTCCAATTCCCCGTGCTCAGCAACACAAAAATAAATAAGCCCGGCCCCGGGCCACCGAAGGAAGGGTGGAGTGGACGTGGGGATGGTGGGGGCAGAGATACTGTATCTGCTGAAAACAGACAAGAGGGAAGCCGCTGTGTTCACAGATAAAGTCGCAGTTTTCCATGTTTCCTGAAGCTCGGATGATTTAGCTGGAGCTTAAACTCAACAATGTGTTGGGAAAGGGTTTAGGAAGGGTCCTGTGTTGAACATGGCCTCGTTAAAGGTGTAGATTTTTGTATGTTTTTGCCTTTATTTAATAGAGACATTTGGGGAAACACAGCAGGGACATGATGTGAAGTAAACCAAGAACTCATTTGCACTCTAATAACTTGGCCGTTGGTTCACCCCTATTTGGCATTTCATTCATGTACTAATATATCTTAGAGTTGTAGTTATCGTGTTATTCTTCCTGCAGAGAGAAATTTGGCTCAATCTGACACAAAAAGTAAAAAGTTAGTCAAAGTTAGCGTAACGTTGGGGAATATTTATCCGGGTCGCTGGAGTGTAAACTCCCCGAAATCCCAACAAGAGCGTGACTAAACTGTTGTGTCCTAAATGCCACGTACTCTCCTTTACTCACCTAATGACGGTTGCTTATCAGTGATTGGACAAGCGCTGTTTGGAGGATTGGTTTAGGAAATGAATAAATGTTATATTTAGTCAGAAATTCTCCGTAATCCACCTGAAAACCCTACATTTTTTAAAATAAATCCTCTATGCAGACTAAACGCTGGCTGGCATTTTAAACGGGGTGAAATTGAACCATAAAACACGTCGCTTTATTGAGTGTGATCCTCTGAACGCCTGGCCACACTCATCTGACAGGCCAAACTGGCAGGCAGGCATCCGGAAAGCCAGAGCAGGAGGGCCTGTTTGTCCAGCTCCATCAGCCTGTCAGAGAAACTGCCGTTTTAACCCTGGACCGAGTCCAGATGAGGATTAAACCTCAGTTAGCCCCTGTCAGTCTTTTGTTTGGGGCTTTTTGGCAAACGGACTGAGAGGGGCTGAACAGCCCGGCCGGCCGGAGCTCAGAGAGAGAGAGCGCACCAACAAGCCAACCTGGAGGTCTGATGTTCTTGATTTTAATTAAGATATTAGCGCGTTGCTATCTTGAGATTTTTAGTCATTTGCAGTCTAGTTCGTGCTGTAAAGCTACTGTGGGTTATTCTCAGGGCCAAACCGGATGACGTTTGGGTGTTTATGGCCGGTAACGCCCCCCCACAAACCCACCCCAGCCTCGACTCTCTGAGCAGGCAGCTGTCCCCCTGGCCTCCCCTTCCCTCACAAGGCCCTTCCCATGGTTCCCCACACCGGGTCAGGAGGCTGGTGGGTGGGAGGAATGGAGGGGGGTTGCTGTCATAGCAGTTGGCTCGTGACACAGTTCGGTGCTGCAGGAGTTACAGAGGTCCGACGGTGCTGCCTCCTCCTGGTCATAAACAGTAACAACAAGAGGGAACTTTAAACCGGTCTCTCTGGGTTTAAGAGTGAAAATGGTCCTGACTTTATATGGTTTAGTAGGCAATAATAATAATAATAATAATCACTAATTGCCCAATTAATGAAACTACGGTGGATGTAAGTTAAAATATTTCACATAATTTGGCTCTAAAAACAGCACAATAACTGCAGAAGTTCAGTTTTGCCATTCTTGCAAGTTTCTGATCAACAACTTTTCACTTAATTACAACAATAACTTTTATTTATAGATATAGCAACCTTCTAAAATGCACTTTCAATATTTTGAAATGCAGAGAATAAGACCTATTCCTAAATACCAAATCAATAAAAGAACTAAACAACATGACCCCAATGCAAACTTTTAATTACTATTATTATTATGCAGTGTTACTACAGTCACATGACACTAAGTCTGCACGTTCACATACACGACACAGTGCACGATCAGCTCATAGAGAAAGCAGGAAACCTTTTCAGACAATTTCAGCATCAAAATGCATTAAAATGATGCCCCTAAAAATGTATAATCTGTAGATTTACATTTCAAACTATGTGCATATCTGGGATGTCTGTAAAGTCTCTTTACTCGCCCCTCCCCAGTTGCAAACCAGCTCTGCTCACACGCTGTAAAACTGGTCAACATCACCCCACGGCGAGTTGTTACAACCGGATCTTCACCGACGGGACACCGAGCATTAGACAGGCGGGGTCGACTGTCAACATGCCAGAACTGGACACTGAAACCGAGTTAAAAATAGCAAAAACAAAGCAAATATTGGGCTTAAGTTTGTCGGACGGCCACAAACAACCGTTCCCCTGCAGTGGTACAAGACTTGGCTACTTTCATCCAAGTCAACTGTCCTGCACCATGGATGATTTGTTAGACTAAAGAGTCATTAAGAGGATTATTTTTAGCACTAAATATATATTTATAAGGGCAATTATGAACTCAGAATTTGACCTGGCACATTGTGTAGATGCTGTGTGGCCTTTTAACACTGACTCAACATCAGATAGAATAACAGCGAGGATGTTAGCGCTCCACCGACTGACCCCGAAACTTGTGTATCCTGCAAGATATCATTACTTACTTTGGGACTCTGGAGACTTTGAGATTACAGCCTACAAGTGAGGTCTCCACTGAGCTCCTTATCTCAGATAAACAGGGAAGACGTGCACACACACATATCGGAGAGGAGGGAACACCGAACTGGGACTCATACACTGAATGTTTCTGATCCAGTTCTGAGGATTGTTCTTCAGCACGGGGACACGGCAACAGCACAGACCATAAAAACAAACATGACAAGAGCTGAACCTGCAACATATGACCGTATTCAAATATCACAGATATTTTTATCTGAACCGCTCTCGTGACTCGTCTTCATAGTGACTGTTTTCTTGTACTTGCAGCTATCCTTGGAATGTACACGCTGATGAGCAACAAGCAGTACTACGACGCTCTGGGCACCACGGGCACCATCGCCAACACAGAGGGCATCAACAGTACGTGCGACACCACTTCACCGAGCTCTATTTTCAGCTACCGCTGACATTCAGAAGAGGCAACCGGTCGCATTCTTGATCTTTTTTCTTTTTCATCTGACTTTTTTTTTTCTTTATCTCCATCATCAGCTCATGAAAATGTATTTCCCCCGTTTGACCGTAAAAAAAAGATGTTACGCTGCCACTCTGTCGCTCTCAGCTGTGATGTTGTGCCTCCTTCAGGTGTTGTGAAAGGAGACCCTTTTAAGATCTTCCCCGAGGAGCCTCCAAACTGCACCAACGTGGAGGAAACCCTGGAGAGAATCCACAACAATGACAGCGGCCTGACTGAAGTCAACCTCAACAACATCAAGGTCAGCCCGGTGGGGCGCTACCAAACAAAGCAGAAGAAAGACGGAAAACTCTTCTCCAACACACATATTTATACTCTGTGCCTTACATGTGCCACGCCGGCCGGACGGGAATATTTTTCCTTATAATGAAAGCTGCTGTATTGATCAGATAGAATGTCAAAGCTGACGTCCTTTCATCTTCCCTGCAGGACATTCCCATCCCGACGCTGAAAGAGATCTTTGAGGCGATGAAGGGAAACTCTCACGTGGAGTTTCTGAGCATCGCTGCGACCCGAAGCAACGACCCTGTGGCTTATGTGAGTACATCCACCCTTTAGAATATCAATAACTTGACCATGACGGCAAAAAATAGATATTTATTCTTATTTTCTTCACTGCTTTGGTATAAAAGACCTGCTGTAAATATTTAATTTCTGCCAGCACATGTATTTCTGGACTCGTGGTGGTTCTTCTATTCCGGTGCTGTTAGGTTGCACCTCTATGACATCTCACATAAAAGCATTCCTCAACACTAAACCTAAACAAAGCAGGCTTCTCCAGGGGTCAGCTCGGTTTGTTTTCTCACATAATACTCAGATGCTTGGTCGTAAAGTTACAGACAGAGATACTGCAGATCTTATAAAGAAATTTATGACTTGGCAATAAGAATATTTTCCAGCTTTAAAACGGAGAGCAGCGTGTACGATGTGGATACTGGAGACGTTCATGTGCGCTGCTGTGTGTGTGTGTGTTGCCAGGCATGCGCTGAGATGCTGCAGGAGAACACCAGCTTGCAGAGTCTTAATATCGAGTCCAACTTCATCACTTCAGACGGCATGATGGCCATCATCAAAGCCATGGCGAACAACGCCACACTGGTGGAGCTCAAGATTGACAACCAGGTCAGAAACAAACAAATGAAGCTGTGGATATGATTCAGCAGGTCCAGTTGGTTCAATTTGGTTTCATTCATATGGCGGAAATTCATAACAAAAGTCATCTCAGGGCAACTCACATAGTAAGGCCTGCCCTTAAAGCTGAATAAATCCAAATGATTCCCTTTGTGCCAGCACTTTGGTGACAATCCATTCATCATCTATACATGGCTTAACTTCACTAGGATTGCAGGGTGAAGGCAGGTTCACCTGGACAGGTCACCAGTCTATCACAGGGCTACACTTAGAGACAGACAACCAATTTAGAATCACCAATTAACCTCAACATGTTTCTGGACTATGTGGGAGGAAGCCTGAGAACCTGGAGAGAACCCACGCTGCACGGGGAGAACATGGAGACTCCATGCAGAAAGATCCCGGGTGTCCTCACCGGGACGCGAGGCAATGATGCTAACCACTGATCCACCTTGCAGCCCAACTTTGGTGACAATGAAAAAGAAAAAAACTCACATTTGTTAGAAGAACCAGGCTCAGAGAGGGCAGGACAACAATGAGCACAGGGGAGACCGTTGAAGCCACTAACTACATATCAGAAATGGAGATAGTTGTAGAGAAGACAAAGCACAAACTACAAAACAGAGAGGACACAACATGAGTGATATGCAGTGGTGGCATGGAGAGTGAAAGCAAGGAGACCACAAAAGAGGTGCTCTTTGTGAAGTCCACCAGCAGCCTTGGCCTTTAGCAACACAAATAAGACATGGTTCAGCGTCCCCTGAGCCTTGGAATTTAATCAAAAAGGAATCTGATCTTAAAACTGGGAGCACTCAGATAATATGGTGCTGGAAGATCTTTAGGATGAGATGTAATGTATATATGACTGGCAACCCTGCAGCCAAAGTGGGACAAAGCCACAGTTAGCTTATGTTAACAAAAGATCAAATCCTTATTTTCATCATCTAAAGTCTAAAACAACTGAATTAATCCTTACAGCAAATGAAATGTTAGTAACATAAACGTTATTCTCCAGTTGTACGTCTGAGTTTACCGTCGCATTCCTTCCTGTACAGAGGCAGAAGCTGGGAGACTCTGTTGAGATGGAGATCGCCACCATGTTGGAGAACAACTCCAGCATCCTCAAGTTCGGCTACCACTTCACCCAGCAGGGTCCCCGCGCCAGAGCCGCCATGGCCATCACACGGAACAACGACATGAGTAAGAAACACTCTAATCTCTCATCTGAAACGCTCATGTGAAGGGAATGAAACAAGAAAGTATTTAAAGTTAGCTGGGCAGGATTACGCTGAAATCAGCAACGTGGGGGAGAGCTGCTGCCAGTAAATGTATCTCGAACAACTCCAACCGTCTCTTTGACAGATTATTTCATGTCATGTCGGGTTTTTTCTCGTCTCCGCAGTTCGCCAACAGAGATTAAGATGAAAGCGACGCGGAGCAGACAGGAGAACTATCACTTCAGCCCCTCGGAGCCTGCAGAGACTCGCCAACGACGTCGGCTTTCTCACTGTGCTGCACCGGAGCCGAGCGAATCCTCCCAAATTAATCCGGGTCATTGTGCATGGCGGAAACCGTGTCTAACATCCATTTCATTTCATTTACTGCAGCGAGCTTTGTGTAGACTGCTGAATTCATCATAAAGGCATGTATAGGCCACGAGCAAAAATGTGAAGTGTCTTCTTTGTGATTTTATTTTTTAAATTTTTATTTGTGCATCACCGACATCATCCCCGACAAAAAGTTAACTCTTTTAATTCATGAAAACCTTTTTTTTTTCTTTTCTTTTTTCAATGTGGTGCTACATTATATGTGGGAAGGAAACAAACAAAAAAAAACTGTAAATAATTTAAATAAAAATATATATTCAAGTATTTTTCGTAAATGTTTGGAAAGTTTAATTTTATTGCTTCGAGACTTTTTTTTTTTTTGCACATATGAATATTATTCCAGAGGATGAGCCGCTTTGGTGCAGCTGAAACTGGACGGATTGGTTTTGCAGACGGAACAAGAACAAGAACTTAACAACATGACAAAAGTTCTGCTGCAGACTGAACCGGACCATTAGCGACGCTGCATTAGAAATGACATAAACGACTGAAGTCTTCATGCAGATAATCGCAGCCGTTTAATCCCTCAAAGTCCCTCCTGATCCTCTGACTTCCCCCAAACACCTGAGCTATTTTTACAGCCCACCCTTCACCAACCCGAAACCTAACCGAGCCCACCGAGCTTGAGTTACCTTGTTCCAAATATAAGAGCTAACTTTAAGAGGGTTGCACCCGAGCGCACCCGCAGAGATTTATGAACAGAAACAGCTGCTAACCTCTGAGGATTTTGACAGCATTGCTCAGGCTCCTGCCCTCGTTTCTTTAACCTATTTCCTCGTTTCTTGTGTGCGCGCGCTCACCTAACGTCGAATTTGACATGATCACATGATTTTTCCAAAGGTCACATTCCTAAAGCCCGGCAGGCTCCACTGACATTTGGCATCCTGATATGATTTAAAGTTGCCTTGCCACGGACCGTTCCAGGAGTTTCTCTTGCCTTTGATCGTTCGCAGTAAAGCGCAGGTGTATTTTTGGACGGTAACGCTGGGCGCAATAAACGCTGTGACATGATATATTCACCGTATTGTTTTTTTTCTTTTCAATTTCGTATCGGATGACGATAAAAACTGTAACGCCGAAGACGTGACATTAAAGGTCATCGGCGTTTAATCATCTGTGTCCTCGAACGTTCTCAAGTGTTTACATGTGATAATGCCAAGTCGAAGTGATGAATGAGAAAGATTTTCGAGATGTTAATTGCGTCCCCATGTGGCGGCGACGCTCTGAACTCCAAAATATTGAAGTCAACGTGCTTTCGACACATATAAGCGGTGTCATCAGAACCTAACCCGTGTTAATTCCCTCTGGCCTCTCCGAATGACCCTCAAGGTGTTATCCAATTTATACCAACTGCGCTGAGAGGAGCTCGGAGCAATCACACCGTGACGAATGCTAACTGGTGGTTTCACTACCCAGATTAGCACCAACGCATTCTATCTGCTGCTGATTTATAGCCAAGCTGACGCTGGATTGTTCCCACCGCATGGAAACGACTGAAGTCACGGGAAAGGGTGAACGAAGGGCGATTACATTCTGTAAGTGGTGAGAGACGTTGAGCTGAAAAGCGTTTGCTCAGCTGCTCTTTTCACACTTAAAGGCTCCATGAAGGAGATGTAGGGCTGAAGCTGGAGACAATGACACGGCTCACAGAGACAACATGGTGAGGATCTTGAATTTATTTTAAATACAAGGCTCAAAACTACAAAAATGGCCAAAAAACAAGAAAAATATGTTCAAATAAAACAGAAATATCTTTGAAATGACACAACAATGGTAATACTTTATGGGAGCGAACTGCCAGATGAGGCTTGTTCAGGAATCCATAATCTTGATCTCTTTAAATCCAGGCAGACACTGTATGAACTTGGGCTGAACATCCATCCATCCATCATCTCTACACCGCTTAATCCTCATTAGGGTCATGGGGGGCTGGAGTCTATCCCAGCTGACTCAGGGTGAAGGCAGGTTCACCTGGACAGGTCACCAGTCTATCACAGGGCTACACTTAGAGACAGACAACCAAGCACACTCACATTCACACCTACGGACAATTTAGAATCACCAATTAACCTCAACATGCTTTTGGACCTTGTGGGAGGAAGCCGGAGAACCCGGAGAGAACCCACGCTGCACGGGGAGAACATGGAGACTCCACGCCCAGGTGTCCTCACCGGGACGTGAACCAGTGACCTTAATGCTGCGAGGCAATGGTGCTAACCACTGAGCCACCTTGCAGCCCCGCATGTCACAATATGATTTTTTTTTGTTGCATGTTTTCAGGCCTCCAGTGAAGCCTCTATGGATATTAACTCCAGGCCAAATTACTGCCACATCGGTTGTTGATTCAGTTTGATGTCATCACACCAGCTCAATAATTCCCAAACTGATCGACAATCTGGCACTCGGCTGATCACTTTGATATCTGAAGTTTTGGTCGTCTATCTTGGAGTTGGAACCGTTCCAGTCTGATGAAGTTAACTCAGCGTGCTTGTGCGAGTACAGAGACAAATAAACAAACTCAATGGGACAAACTCGTTCTGTGAAAGGCAGCAATGTGCCGCAAGTCTGCTGGAAACACTCGAGTCACGACTGCCCGACTGAATGTAAAGTCTGATCAGTGTGAGCAGGAGGTTGTATGATTATAATTTAAACTAAATTAAGCTATTAGCGTGAGTTTTGACTAAAATTAAGCGACTTTGAAATAGATAAAAACATACGGTGTCTGCTTGGCTTCGGTCTGCTTGATGTTAAATAGAGGAACTGCCTAAATCAAAACACTCAGTAAGTTAATGACAATCTGATATAAAAATAAGATCATTTCCTGGCATTTCCCAGATGATAGAGTGATAACAGCCTTTACGGGTAAACTGAGTGTTTCCTGGGCAGTTACAGAGCGGTGGTTTAGCTCAGCTTCTGTTACAATGGAAGTGTGAGATGTGCAGGCGTTGATGAATCGATGTAGGAAAACAATGTGAGTCCATGAACAGTACAAATCTGTTTTAAAAAAAAGTCCTTACATGTCGGCTTCTGGCTGTTTCAAGCAGCTGCGTCGTTTCTAAACGTACCACTGTGGTACAAAGTTTTTTGAGTTTTCAGTCCGCTCAGTGGCTCGTAGGAGGAGGAACAAGCGACGCCGGCTCCTCCTCATCTGAATCAAACTCCACGTTTTCATCTTTAATCCACCGTCCGCTCGGGTCTCGCAACCACCCGTCACTAAAGAAAAAACAAAGCAAGATGGACTAAAAAAAAATCTGAGGTGGATAAAGTCAAACTGAAGTGACACAGCAGTGAGGAAGCTCATAACGCTCAGCTTCAATCTTAACACCAACCTCTTTAGTTTGAGGTAATGCTCCAGCTCTCTCTTCCGCTCGGCCGTCATCGGTTCTTCCTTCTGCGTCACTGCAGCCTCGGTCGTGTCTTCTGATGGAAGCGACTCTTCATTGGCTAAAGACAAAAAGAAATCTGACAGCTGGAGAACAGTTTTCCTGAACAAAAAACATCTCCTGTGGCAAACTGTACCTGTTTTACAGTCACTGGAACTGCTTGAAGATAAACTGTGCGAGGCTTCAGGTTTCCAATATGCAGAAGGCATTTTGTCGCCGCTAGGATCTGAACTGGTGCTCGCTGCTCCTTTTTCAGATTTCGTACTTTAAAGGAATGACAGAACTATGTTTAAAAATGTTCACTATGATGTGAATTTGCACATCGACAACCACACACACCTGGTTTTTCTGTGACAGCTGTTGTACGGTACAGTCTTGAGTAAAGCATGATGGGTGAGCCTCCGTGTTTGGGCCAGTAGAGGAGCTGAACTGGAGGGCTCCTGGAACCACAACAAAAGGCTTTAAGAGGACTTTACACTGTGAGCTCATTTGGGAGTTACCAGTTAAGTCTGCTACACGCTTTGTTAAGTTGTTCATGTTCTCCACCAACAGACATAAACTGGAAACTGGCTGGAGAGTGTGTAATCTGTCAGGGTCATGTGACAGTCATGACGGCGCCACGTAATGCATTTCATCCGAGACAACAACGTGTAGGAAAGACGCAAACTGTTCCGCTCATGTTGTTTTCCAGAGATGACTCATTCACCCTCTGCCTGCTGAGTGATGATCCAGCTGATTGCTGTCTGTTGCTGCTGCTGGGATGAAACATGCAGCTTTACTGCATAAGTACGTGCAACAAGAGATTGTGATAAGTTTGCTCAGGGAGTCGACTTTTCTGCAACTCGACACAGCGAACAGGTACAAACCTGTCGACTGTCTTCAGTCTGGATGAAGTTCTCATGTTGTCTTTTGGTTATTTCATTCTTCAGTCGTGCTTTCTTGCCATAGAATCCTTTAAGTCCTGAACAGAACAGAACACACAACATAAAACAGCATTAAGGATTACCTGTTATGACAACATATGCAGTGAGGAATACACATTTATCAACTATGAGCTACAAGGCTGAACTATTTGTGGCGAATATCCGAATGCGATCTTCCTGACAGATACTGCAATTTGATTTGTGAGAAAACTGAATTAGTCCAGCTTCGGTTCAATATTCATCTTGCATGACCGCATGAGAAACCTTTGGAAGACTCCCTGTCTGTCCGACTGTCACACAAGGGGACGGCCTGAATCTGTAAAACCATTAACACAACTGTGGAGCTAGACTATTTGTCCGCTATTAAATGACTCACCAACTACTTTGATTATCACTTGAGTGTCAGCAAAACGGCGAAATTATCCGATTTCAGCTTCCTAAATTTGAATATTTCCAGGTGTCTTTGCTCCTGTATGATGGTACTGTGAATATCTTTGGGTTGTGGACATAACAAGACATTTGAGGATGTCCTCTTGGGCATCTTTGGGAAACGCTGATGAAAGATTTTCATCATTTTCTGACATTTTATAGACCAAACAACTAATCAGTTAATTAAGAAAATATTCAGCAACGAATGAGTGCTTCATGACAGGATTCTGATTTGACATATCAGGAGTTTGGTTTAATTATTCCCCCAAATAGTGGCAGGATCTGGAGTCCTGAGGTAATGTAGTATTTAATATATATTTATTTTTGGTGTCTGTTACAATGAAGAACAGATCAGACTGTCTGCTGAAGTTACTCTAAATCTTCCTAAACACGAAATCAGGGGTGGGCAATCCTGCATGTTTTAGATGTTTCCCTCTTCCATTCAAATGATCAGGATCGTTATCAGGCTTCTGCAGAGCTTGATGATGAGCTGATCATTTGAATCAGGTGTGTTGGAAGAGGGAATCATCTCAAACATGCAGGACTGTGGCCCTCGAGGACCAGAATTGCCCACCCCTGGACTAAATGAATGAACCAAACACCATAAATAAGAGTGAGTGTCACCTTCCAGATGTCTCTTCCCCTTCCTGTGGACTGTCAGCATGTCAACTGTATCAAACACAGGGCGGTAGGAGCACACGAGGCAGGTGTATCTGGAGACCAAATAAAGAAGTTCACGTTCACCATCACGTCGTCAAACACCCAAAGGTAACAAACCAACTTTGCCAAACACATCGAAGTTCATTTCACCTTCCATTTTTCATAAGAGCAGCCTCATCCTCTGGGATAAAGTTAGACAGAAGGTCTGCCACACGCCGTTTCTAAGACAAAAACAATAAGTTAGCAATAGTGCTTAATTCACTTTAAATTGCCTACAGAACAGTGCGGCTTGGTGTTAGCTAACAGCATGCTAACCATAACAACATGTGTAGTTTCAGCTGAAATCTCTTCTACTAAACTAAAAGAAAGCAATAAAAAATAAACTGTCACCTTCAGAATATTCAGCTGACTCTTGTCATCGCCTTCCCTTTTAAAAGACATAATTATTAAGGTTGTTAATCTATAAAACAACCGGTCAGTAGCAGGTTAGCTGCTTCGCCCCAGCTACAAGCTAACTCCTGATAGCAGTGCTGCGTTCCCTGACGAAGAAGGAAATGGGAAATGCGAGTGTTCAATTTGAAAATGCCACCGAGTTATTTTGGAGTTTGGAGTTTTGTAATTCTATTTTTGCTTATTAACTTGAAGAGTCCAGACATCCGCACTTTGTCTCAACTAAGCGCAGCTGTGGGGGCTGTATATTTAATAAAGCTCCAATTAGTTCCACTTATTCCGATTGTTTTCAACGCAACGCTTGTGACGAATCACGGGACTGGTCGCTGATCACGGCAGCCATGGCAACACATGGCAGCAGCAGACAGCTGACTGCGGGAGACGCGAAGAAAACATTGACAAGTTTCTCAACAACTTTTCCGGTATTTGTTTGACAAATGAGAAAAGGCTCAACTCATTGCCAAGTAAGCGTTTGATTTTATCTACGCCAGCGCTTCTGCATGTGCCATTTGCGACACACGGCGACAGTTGGACACTTAAAATATCGAACGAGCGTCGAGATTGATTAAGTTGATAAGTTAGCTAGCAGGCTAACTAAGCTGCTAGTTTAAACCCTGCGCGGGTTGAAGTCGACTGTTAATGATGCTAACAGGAGTTAGGTTTGCTCGTGGCCGCATTTTGCCACCAGCTGGTCGGTTAACGAGTTAGGCGCTTTACGACTATGTCCGGGGAGCGAGCACCTTTGCCCGGCGGGGGGGACGGCCTACTCCGGGGGAGCCGCCGGACGAGGTCCTACGGCAGCCTGACCCGGTCTCCGCTGTCTCCGGTCCGCCAGAAGCGCATCGAACACACAATTCAACCGGGAGAAACACTACAAGGCCTGGCCCTGAAATATGGAGTATCTGTAAGTATGAGTCACCTGTTTTTTTGTTTTACTGCTGCTACGAGAACCATTAAAGTCAGTTTTATTTCTTTATTGCACCTGTAACGCCTCATTTAAAACTCACATTATATTAATCTATCATGCTCTGTAATAAACCTTTTAAACATTGAAGTGACTACAGAACTGGGATATCTCTTTTTGCAAAACTAAGGTGCACAAACTTAGCATCCTTTATTCACTGTGTTGTAGTTTTTAATAATGTGAATGTACTTAAGTTTTTTTCTATCATTGTAGCAGCTGGACTGATGCTCTAACACTTTTTAATCTCCTCCTTTTTTCCTATGACCAGCGTAAGAGCTAGACAAAAATATATAACAGCAACACATTGAATTTTGCTAAGCACAGGGCTAAAATTAAAGTTAAAATAAATTGACAATTAGACACAATTAAAGTTTGACCTTTTTTCTCATTCATTAATCTCTCCCATTCGCCCTTTTTCATGCTTTGTTTTGTCTCTTAACTTTACGGTCCCGTTACTTTACCGTTACAGTTGGCGCCTGCGTTACATTTTATCATTTTCCTTCATTTCCATCTGATGTCCCTTCAAAGTAAAAGCACTTCCGATTGAATAACTAAATTAAAAGAATAGAAAACATTAATACATGACAGATTTAAGTTCACACATGAATTGGAATTATAACAACATTCAGCACCTACAGAATAAGTAGCATTTGAGTTACTTATAATTAGTATTTTTTTTGTTTCGTTGATGATAGATGGATAGTTAGATAGCATAGATAAAGCCTTCAGGAGGGGATCGTCAGTATAAAACTTGCCAGAACTGAAGACACAGGACAGGGCAGAGGAGTAAATACTGTCTGCATGCGTGTTGACTCAGCAGGGATAATACTACATGAGACTATTTGATTTAGCACAAACCAATGCAGAATGTGAGAGTCTTACTGCATCATAGTCCATTATATTCCTTGTTTTCCTTACATAAATGGAGACATTTCCACCATGAATCGATGCAGAAAAGGCACACATTAGATGCATATGAATTTACCAGTATTCAGTATTAGTTTGATCTTGGTTATGGCTCTAATTCATACTATTAGCAACTATTAATTAGCATTAACTCAGTGGTGCAGCGGAGTAAACCTGGTAATGAGTTAGTACCCTCAGCCCAGGTGATGATGTGTAGAACAACCCTCTAATTACATTGTTTATTCGTTTGTTGTTGTATGCTAAGGAGAGATATCAATACACTGTTTAATTGGAATGATGTTTGTTCCTTAACTTCATAAAAGTGAAGCTGGCTTTAGTCAGGTTTTCAACAGGCTCACAAAAGCATTTCTCTCTTCCAGATGGAGCAAATCAAAAGAGCAAACAGACTGTACACAAACGACTCAATATTCCTCAAGAAGTCTTTGTCAATCCCCGTGCTGTCAGACATGGATGACTGCAGTAATGGGGTGGATTTGGCCGAGGAGGGCAGTGATGGAGGCAGCGTTAGCTGTGCTTCTGTTCACAATGGACACAGGGGGAGAACCTCTGAGAAAAAGAAAGAAGATGGAAAAGAAACGGTGCCGGACCTTACTCCAGAGGATTTTTTGAAGAGGTTGGATGGCTTGATAAGCCAATCCAAGGAGGCTGCTGTCAAAGGATGCCAGGAAGCAGAGAAAAGGTATAACTACATGTCTGTCACTGTTTCTTTATTTACACTGGACGTGGCTGTTTCTGTCTTTCTAGCAATACAGAATCCTACAGTCTGGCATTTTAGTTGCTTCTCTGCTGGAGTATTTTATGTCATTGCATTTATTCAGTAGCATTTAATCGTTTGTTCAAGTCCAAGCAGTTGGTGCTGCTTATGGGCGTCTTTCAATTTGTATTTCTTACAAATGACTGTATATTCATAGACATTAATAAAACACATTTGGCAGCCAGAATATATATTTTTTTCCAGGTTCATGTTGAACATTGTATGTGCAAATGTTCACTGCCTGTATTTTGCAAATACAGAGTTGTCCACCTGGTGAGGTCTAGAAATATATTGTGGGGAAGTCAGACGCTTTTGCCCATCCACCTCCCTGAACCATTTCATTGTGTGAAAGGAAACGCTGCCATTGAAAAGAAAATGGTTAATTCTGTATGTGAATGTGATTCTTAGTAGACCGGTTTATTCTGTGAGCAGGACTCATTGTCTCACAGCAAGAGGCGTTCTTTCAGAATAATAGTGAAAGCTGCCAAGGATGAATACGGGCTGAATCACTTGAGACTCATCCTATCTTCTCATCTGTTTTTTCTTGGCAGGGTTGCGGCCCTAGAAGCAGCTTGCACCAGCAGGACACCAGATTGGCGGCCGCTTACAAGGTCACAGAGTGTCTTTTCATCTTCCAGACTGCAGCAGCAGGCAGCGCAGGGGGCAGTACCCCTCACTATCACCAAACTCACCAAGACACTGAGAGACAGGGAAGATGAGATCTTTGAATTGTGACATGCTGCTTCTTCTGCCTCGCTTTCATTCTGAAAGAAAGTTTTTTTTCCAGAAAGCCATGTTGCACGGTTTTACCTCCACGGTCGGCTTTGGGGGACCAAAAAATCGAACCCTGATGATCCCACTGCTGCTGTGTAGAGTTCAAGTTTGAATGTCTTGCCACACTGCCATTTAATACAGACATTATTACACTGTGTAGTTTAATTATTGTTTTTTTTTTTTTATGAATGTTGCACATTTTTGTCTTTATTTATTTGGTGAAACATACTGTAGAATGTGCCGTCTAGCTTGTTCTCATATGCAGGAAATAGGAGCACGAAAGATTACAAACGATAATTCAGTCACATGTGATTTCAGTCATATGACTGCTCATGTGGTCGGCTCGACAACGGGGCGTGTGTGTAACGCTGCCTCTCATTTCTCAAACTAAAACCTTTAGTTATAGAATGTGAAATATGTTTCATCATAACAGTGCTTATAAATGAGGTTTCTGGTTGTTGTCGGTGAAAACTTTACACTGTAACGTAGCCAAAGGTGTATAAAAAGAATAGATGGTGTCTTCCATAATATATTTTGACAGCAGTCTTTTTATTGTTTGTTAGGGGTCTGGGTTTGATTTCATTTACGTTTTGTGTAGTTCCTTTGAAAATAAAATGATCCCATGTTAAATTGGTTTTTCCTACATTTTTTTCTTAAAGTATTTTACCAATTGAATGTCAAATTACATTATTTGACTGTTCCATCAGAGGAGATCAGCTGGGACTTCATTTTTCCTCACTTGAAGTCCGCATCATGTAAAACCCAAAGAACAACACGTTGCTTTACCTCAGCCAGAGACTGCGATCCGGTCCACAGCAAATCATGAATTACAGGATCAGCGGTCAACCTTGTGCCGTCAGTCTTTTTCTACATGCTTCTAAACATGTTTTGAAACTGCAGAGTGATGGTGGGGTTATTTGCTTTATTATTGGCTGCCTGGTCAGCTGGACGCCTCAGTAAATACTGCCGAAGCATCGCCTCCACCACCAGATGGCAGCGCTGCATCACAGTGGCGTTGTTCCCTGTCTGCTCTCTGTCCAGCTGATGGAACTCTTCCTCTCCAGAATGCATCCTATCAGTAGTTCTGATTTAAACATTTCAATAATTAAACATCAGATGACATTTTTAAATGCTAGTAAATTGGCCGATACATGATAAATCTGTTCAAGTTTGCTCGCTAAAGTGTCTGAATAGACAATTAGGCATCACAATTGTACAGTTTATTCTATATGTATCACCTATAAACAATACAAACTCGACTCCACAATCTTTATTCTTTTTCCCACACGTTCTCTGAGAACTTCGGGGCTGCACATTTGTTCTCAAATCACTCGTCTTACATTGCAGGTCCTCGGCAGCAGGTAAGACTTTTGAATCATTTGTCCCAACGGTTCAGAGCCTGTGGCGAGCTCTGCCTGTTGATCTCCCAGTGTCTGTTCTGAAACGCTTCGCCCGGCGTGCGTCATATTGTTCCGTCCTCCACCAGTTTGTTGAGTCCTTTACAGATCTTGGTGAGGTTGGGTCTGAAGTTGCCGTTGGGGTCGTATAGCTGGGTCAGGAGCTGCGGGTCGGAGTAATGGTTGAAGACGTGGTTGATGCGGCCGTGGGATTTGGGCGTGAGGTGGGTGTTGACCAGCTTCAGCAGCAGATCCCTGCAGCTGGACAGCAGCTCCGACATCACGGCCTTGTCGAAGGTGAAGTCCACCTGTGTTGATCAAGAGATGAGTTTAGAAAGACTGATTCTAAATACACCGGTAATATCCAAAACAGCAAGCTCCTTTGTTATGGACTAATTAAAGACCCCCTCAGGTGAAAATCAATTTTTAAAATATCTTGTTAGCATAGCCATATGGTGCTTTTTATAAGGTAGTGAACAATATGAGTGAAATAAGCTGTCATGGCTGAGTGTTTCCACCTTACAACTGCAGCGTTACAGATGGATGTCTGAGATTTCATACATGCAAGAACCTAACTGATCAGTTTACTGGGTTTTGTTTTCTCCATATGATTATTTTGCTTAAGAATTGCTTTCCAGGTCAAACACGTAGAGCAGAGTTACTCCAGCATTACATTAATTTCAGGTGGATTTGTGCATTCCAGAGGACGCAGAGCCAGTTCCAATCAAAAGGGATTATTTTCATGGAAAAACGAACACACAGATGAGTTTTAAGGAGTTAAATCAACACCTGGAGAGCAACTTAAAGTCTCATTGCGCTTTATCTGTTGAAAAAAAAAAATGAATAAAATGCTTTCATCAGTTTAAATCCAACCACAAATAGTTTCTACAGGTTATCATCTGTTTCTCATAGTGGCACCCTTTCTTGCCATTGTAGCACAGGGTAAATATATAACCAGAGCGCGATACAAACTTATGTTAGAGAATGAAACAGGAAGTTAAGCGTTGTATTAAAATAAAACCAACACAACCTTTGAGCCACACACGTAGCGCACGTCTGAGTACAGAGAAGTTCAACGATTTAATGTTGTAAATGAGTTTGTTACTGAAGATATTTTACTGTGAGTCATTCATTTAGTCGTTGGTTTTGGACAGAGTGACCTGCACTCACTTGGAAAACATTAAGGCGTCAAACGCTTGGTTGTTCGTTTGTTTATGAGCTTGTGTTCTTGCAGTTGGCAGCACCTCCAGGCCTGACATATATGATGCACACAAAGCTTTTTTCCCTCTTTTGAAGTAAAAAGAAGTTCTTAAATCTAACATCTGGCTTTTTAGATCCTGCACAAACCATTGAAAAGTGAATATGAAGAGTTCATTTGCAAAAACAGAAAACTCCATTTTTGTAAATTTTCAGAAAACCTTTTTTTTTTGGTTTTTTGCTTGAGAAAATATTAATCAGACTGAAGTTGAGTGGATTTGACTCAGTAGAAATGACATGACAACAATAGAGATAACGATGGAAAAGTGGGTTTTCTGAAGGTTTGTGAGGCTTGATCTGTTTTTGCACATGAACTCTTCACATGTGCACGTGTACCTCGTAGAAGCTGATCGCCGTCATGGCCCCCTGGTGCAGCTTCTTCTTGAAGTCCTGGGCCACTCCCAGCTCCTCTGTGCTGAAGCGGTTGTTTCTGAACAGCACGCCGATCTTCACGGCGATCTTGATCAGGTCTTTGATGACCTTCTGAGCCTCAGACTTGTTTCCCGAGTAGCCCTTGGAGACGATGTACAGTTCGTCCAGGATCTCGCTGGTAGTGTCGTCGATGAACATTTGCACGGAGCTCCTGGTGGCCATGGAGCTGAGGATCTTCTTCTGGGCCTTCAAGGCCATGTCCTTGGAGCTGAATGCATCCATGGTTCGCCTGGATTATCAATGAAAAGCAGTTTTCATTTTAATCACAGTCTTGATGAAGAAACGATGGGGCCATTCGACTGTTTTAGTGCCCGCATAAAGATTTTACTGCTCTCTTTGAGAATATTTAAATTCTGCGTATAGACAGGCAGCTGAGTGATTAAAACCGAAGAACTAAATGATGCAAATCGGTGGTTTCCAGCAGTGGGGCAGAATAAAATATTCTGACTTAGCGCTTATAAATTGCCCAACAGGACATCAATATACCGAACATGATACTCTCAATCACAGAGGCGAAAGGATTTAACATTTACAGCTTTTTCTGAGGCAATTGATTGCTCGTTATTTTACACAAGTTCGACTGCGTCTCTGCAAAACAGCCTCAAAAGCTGCCAGCAAATCTAAAGCAACTGCTGTAAGGAGTAAACACACAGTTTTCTTCTTCCCTATTTCTAAAAGTGGAGGCCTTCCTGAGTGTGCTTTCACCCTCACAAGACGAACAACCTTTTTTTTTTTTCTTCCACACCTCAATGCCATTTGGCCAAACTTTTTCTGCCAGAAAACCGGCACTTCCTGTCGAGTCGTTGGAGGTTAAGTGTCACGCTCAAGGTGAAATGGTCGGTTGTTATGGAGGCCGTGGAGGGCAACACATGTTCGCCTCTCGTGTCCAAATTTTCCAAATCATCTAGAGATCGGAGGCGGCAACCCTCCAGCCGTTACTCTAACCTTCAGGTTGTCATCCATCCTGATGCACATCATCGAGGTCCATATCGGCAGCATCATTAAAAGACATTCAAGCATATATTTGTAAAAATAAACACATTCAGCATTGAAATTTGTAACCCAGCTTCCGTGCAATGCTAGTTACAGTGTTTGTTTTCGTGTCTGACATGCACACATGATGCCAAAAGGGAAAAGTGCCATGGAAGAGGCCCCACAGCGGCTTTTAATTCCTCCGCCGAGACTTCAACCACACCTAGCATCCAACGCAGGGAGCCCCCCCCCCGGGAGGTCATCAGCATGCATACAGCGCGCTACGACAGCAGTACAAAAATCCACTCTTTATCTTTTGACTGTCAACACAGTTTGAATTAATTCTATTTTAATTCCATTTAATTTCCCTCTAATCTCTGACATGGAAGCAGGCAGATTCGAGGAGGATCGCTCGCAGAGGAATACTTACATTTACATTTTGTTTATCTGATGATCTTACCGGAGAGGCACGCAAGACCGGGCAAGCGAAGTAAAGTTTCATTCCCACACCTCCCCGAAATAAAGACGGGAATTATCAGAGCAATGTGACTCGTACAATAGATAAAGCAAATAAGTGTCTTTGTGGAATGCTTATGCAAAACAGATAAGTCCCAGTTATATCTTCAGTTCCACAGCTTAAGTCTAAGTCTGAATGCTTAGTTTCCACTTCACCTTAATCCAGAGTACGTGTGATGAGTAAGACAGAATCAACACAGACGTACGGTATCTTCAGCAAACATCGCCGCCTCCGAGTGTCTCCTCTCCGACTCTCATTCGGTCTTCTATCCCTACATGTGTGTCAGAGTTGACCGTGCAAACAGCTTCCGAAAACATCTTTCTGTGCAATTTTCTGCACTGAATCCCACTTCTGGCCTGTGTGGACAAGTATTTGAGAGCAGCAGGTAGACTGCATAGCTGAGGCAGGTCCGTGCCTGCTGCTGCTGCTGCTGCTGCTGATTCCTCATTGCATCAGCGCCAGGGCAAGAACAGAAAGCGAGCACCCTGAACCCCCAGCGGCTGTCTGCTTCTGTTATTGAAACATCCTGTGCATTAGCAACAGCAGATTGTCAGTAAGCTGTCGGTTAAATGACTTCCTGATGGGCTGTTTTTAATGCAATTTTTTTTTTTTTTCTCCTTCGTCGATGTTCCAGTTGTCCAGCTGCAGCAGTGTGAGCAAAAACGACTACATTAACTACCACATCATGCAAAACAGTGCAGCCCCCTCCCCTCATCCCCGGCACGCATCCCCAACATCCATAATAAGGACACCGTCACTTTTATAGGATATCTCAGCGGGTTCCGTTTCAACCATTCATTTTGAACAAGTGTCACATTTTCTAATGGCTCGCTTCGTTACGAAAACTTTGCGTTCCCTGTGGGGAATTAAAGAACATTCATTAGATTAATTTCCCTTAACAATGATAATGGAAGTGGAGCCGTGTGATAGCTATTTCAGATTCAAGCTTCAATCTCATTTATTTGCTAAAAAGACTACGGGGATTTGAGGGACGTGCACAGTGTGCAGTCATCAGCGAGTATTCCACACTGCGAAGCTCCCGCAGCAGGAGACGGCTCGCTGCTTGGCTTTTTTTTTTTTTTTGTGCGTCTACATTGTTTGTTTTATGCAGCTCTGTCGGGGGGGTCGAGGCTGTTTGGAGAACATTGCCATACAAGTACTTTTTTTTCCCCCTGCTTGTAATGGACATCATTCGGTCGGTCACGCCGAGGACGCGCTCGGTGTTGGGCAGCAATTTTCTGGTACAGATGGATTGAAGAGGGGCCTTTAAGCATTTATCAGTTTGTTGTTGACATCCACCAGGGAGAGAGTGCATTACATGTTCAAGTGTTTGTTTCCTCTCTCAAACGCCTGGAACTGGAGCCGAGCAGCATCTGTGTGCTGTGTGAGGATCTAATATTGAAGGAAAAACAACAAAAAAAAAACACAGAGAGAGCTATTACAGCAGAGATGGTGCTAATGAAGTTTCAGTGTGTGCTCGGTTAATGGACAGTCAAAGAGAGGCTGCTGATTGGTGGAGCCATCCAGGCAGGCCGGAGAGGTAAATATTTAGCATTCCTCAGATGACTCCAGCGTGGAGATCAGCGTTTGTGTACATGTATGTGCATGTGGATGTGCATTTTTCAGCACCGGTAGTTTCCGGTTGTTTTTTACATGCAGGTATTTGCAAATAAAATCGTACATTTGGTCTTTGTGTTCTTTCCCATTCAGGCGTTTTTGAATATAATTCCTCTCGCAGGTTTCAGAGGAGCCCCGTTTCACCGAGCAGATCAAAAACGTGCTTTGTGCTGTTCTTGGAGTGCAGCAGGGCCTTGTTACTTCCACTAACTCGCTGTGTTTTCATCACCAGGCCTGGGCTTTGGGCAGACCGCCGGGTCGAAGCTTGTGATACTGAGAGCGTTGGGTCTCTCTACAGCCTTTGATCAGATTGAACAATGAGAATGTTCCAGGAAAAAAAAACAAAAAAAAAGCACAACAAGGAGGCCATATTTGGACAGGATGGTTGGCGGTTGCATTGAAGTGTTCTTTTCTTCTGGTTACGAACCGGAGAAGATAAAAGACGAACCAGAGAAACACTGAATTTCTGAGTCTTTACTCAGCAACTTTCTGTAGAAGGAAGAGGACTCTGCCAGGATGAAGTGTCACTTCCGTTTTGTGTTTTCAACTGCGGGCTCAGTTGAGATCTAGTTTTTTTCATTTTACCATCTCGCGTAACTTGATGGTAATCTTGTCTCACTTCCTTCTGCCGGTTTGTTAGGATTCATTCAGTTTCATATTTATTTTGACAACCTCTGACCAGCGTGTTTGCTCGAACAAAAATTGCTTCAATTACGTAGCAGACGAGGAGGCATGTTGAAATCCTCTAAAAGCACATATTGCAGCTTCTCTTTCAATATTGCACAACTTTCCAGAAGTGTCGTTGTTCGAGCCTGCCACCCCGTCTGCAAACGCCTCAAAAGGGAAGCGAAACAGAGCAGTTGGCTCGTTGGTTGATGAGTGAGTTTGTGTTTGCCCTCCCTCCACCACCCTCCACCACCCCCACGGCAGCGTAAAGTGACATTACAACCTTTCACTGTCTCTGGCTGCGGCTCGACATGCTTCAAATCAAAGTAGGCCAGTGAAGAAAGTCCACCGCCTCGAGATTTGAGTTGAGCAACTCCCGGCCTGTGCAAACAAAAAAATGTGAGCTCTACATCTGTGCCTGTCACTGTGCTTGTCCCGGCATGACTGTGAGCGTACATGCATATCTCCCAGCTCGTGCTCAAGATGGGGAAGTGGAAACAAGTCGCACAGTTTCCATCCTTCTTACTCAGTCTGTCTGGGCGCCAACTAAGAATAAGACCCCCAGAAAAACAGAGACACACCACACATCAGGGCCCCCAAAGGTGAATTATTTTTAAATAGCACGTGAACAAGTCTCTTACCTGTGAGTGTGCCGAGTCCCCCTCCCTCCTTGTCAGATATCTCTCTCTCGCTCTGTGTATCAGGTGGACAGCACAGGCCGCTTAACCTAAAGAGATCCCTTCATCTCCACCGAACCAAAAAGAAAAAAACACCCCCCAAAAAAGAGCAGCCCTCCTGCAGCGCTTCTGTCAGTGCTTGCCACCCTGTCTTAAGATAATGTTGAGCTGTACTTCCTTGAGGAACTAAATTGCTATGACACACCCCTCAGCCTGTGTGTATGTCTCTCTCTCTCTCTCTCTCTCTATCTCCCTCCCTCTCACTACGCTGGTGTGTTTCCCTCTGAAATTCAAATTCAAAAACCCTTCTTCACTGTATTCCCCTCCACAGCCTCGTCGCTCTCTGGCACTCTGCTCTGAATCCGTCCGGCCGCTCTCTCCTCTGTATTGCTGACGTTGTGCCTCTGCTTGTTCTGACAAGTGAAAACCCCAGAAAGAATTTACCAGTGATCCAGTGATGCAGCCAGTTGAAAGGGGAGCGGCTTAACCCCCTTTTTCTTTTTTCTTTCAGTATGTGTGTGTTCACCTTGGCTGGAATGCGGCTGCTGTCAGTGCTGCCGTGTCCCTCCCTCTTATTCAGGAATCATAACAATGAGCAGGAGTGTGTGTGTCTGTGACTGACATAGGTGTAGAGAGGCATGACTGTACGACAACTTCACGCCGTTGCACAACCTGCAGTCCTTTTTGTTTCAGGCTTATGATCAAAGCACGGTTCCATCGTGACGAATAACAAAACCTGATATAGGTGTTTCCGTCTGCCGAGGACCTGCAGACAACCACATGTAGTTGTCTTGTTTAAGTTACCGTATGACATTTAAAGACTGATTTCATTCATGCTGGGATTTATTCCACTGAATTAAAGGCTATTTGCTATAAAAATCTGGCATTTTAACTCCTTTTTTTGGGGACATACAAAGCTAAATC